GTCTTTTTTCAAATAGCTGATTTAAGTGGTCTGCTGATTTTTGCATTTTCTACATCTTGTCTTGTATGGAATGACGTGCTGAACTTGACAGACTATGCATACATGTGCTAGGAATACTACCTGCAGTTTGAGATAACCACCGTCAAATACATTTAGAGTGAGTTAGGGATTTACACAAATTTCTATCTTGTCGACCGTCAAGATTTATGTTGCTTTCTTTGGTAGTTTCGTGGACATAATTTGCCGATTTATAAGTTCATGTATAGTTTTCCTTCCATTCTTTCTTGTGGCTCTGAGGTGTAGTTTATGTGTTTCTTACCACTAAGTTCAGTCTGTTTCTTCCCTTTGAGAAGTTATATTATCAGATTGTCAATATTTTGGTTTTTTATTTTGTCTACCTGTTTATTTGTTGTCATGGTTAATTGACTCTCCAGTAAAATTGCGGTAATTTGTCTATATTGCCTGATGATTGCTCTTATGACTTTTCTCATGAGCCTCATAAATTCAGATACTTTTATTACTCCCTGTATTAATAAGATTATCTATTGTAGCAATAGATGGGTAGCTATCCATTCTTTCATCACAAATCACACTTATTGATGTTTTCTGCATGCTACATATTTGTGGCTCATGTCATCTAAATTAGTTTTGTAACCTTTTTGATCATTGCCATCTCTGCTAGTAAAATCACTTCGCTTCATAATGTTATCTAGAATGAGCGGCGTCCTCCATTATGTTAATTGATTGGAATCACCAATAATGTAAACTACAAGGATAGAGATTGCAAATTTAGTTGTGAGCATGTACAATTTGTGGAATTTTAATGAACATGAAATCTGTGCTTGGTTGTATCTACTTATGATCTCTAAAAATTTTGCCACTTTGTTGTGATCTGCAGTCTGATGATGGACGTGAAATGTGTGCAATTATTATTTACTGTAAAAACATTGACAAGATGGATTGCTATGAACACCTATGCAAACACTAGGTACTCATTCTGTCATTGTTCTATTTTAATATATGCACTTATTGCAAGTCACTTAGGCTGATATGAAATTGTTCTTTGAGTCTATATGTGGAGAGGTTGGTCATTCTTTACTTAAAACATCATTTCCCTTGTGTATAGTTTGTGTTGCTAAATGTCTACAGAAACGACAATTTGACTAGCGTAGCTTCATTGGTTCATTGTAATTTAGTTTCTAGACTGGTAGTAGTGTTTTAGCTTTGGAAACCCAATTTAACTGAGGTGGAAATGGATGTGCAACGAGACTTGGAGATTAGGTAGATTGCAGTTTCAGAACCTTTTATTTTTTAGGCAAAACTAGAGAATATTAGAACAATGAGTTTGGATCTTTGTTTTATCAAATAAAGCTTTTTGAGAGATGCCGGATGATACTTTTCTCTAGATCTTTGTTCATCTTGTCTTTCCTCATGTACCATGTTTTCTTCATTTGCAAACTCTGGTACTGCTTCTGATTCTTCATTTCGCAGGCCGTCTGCATCATCTTGTGGCGGCTCATAGATTCTGCTGGTAGTGATGAACATCCGGTTTTGTTTTCACCGATAAGGAAAAAGGTGTACTGTTAGATATTTCATCTTGTATTGTAGCAAACAAAGTAATTTAGCTGTATATGTAGAGAACAAGTAAATACCTCTAGTGGAAATGGCTCATTGAGTATGTCCATGAAACTTCCTGTCATTTCAAATGACAAAAATTCTTCATAATTCTGATTTGAAGATTTAGCCTGAGCTATAACTTGGTTCATAAGGCTTGTATAGCTTGATCCGCCCTATGATAGTACATAACTTGTTCCTCCTGGTGACATGATCACCTGCAAATTTTGGGGTTCACCATTACAATAAAATCTTACCTTGTTGGCATTTTCAATAAACTTGTAGTGCCTGCTGCATTATTATTATTATATTTTTTGCACAGGGTTTGATGAACTTATATATGTCACACTGACAATATGTGTTATAAGTTGAATTCCTTTTTACCTTGTTGGCCTTTTCAATGTTTGTATGAAACATGTAGTAGCTCTCAGGATTGAATTCCACTTCTCTTTCGGACCCACCCTGCATATGAAGAAGACTATCCTGTTCATAACAGTTATAGTCTAGTAGTGCTGATGAACTATCCTGTTCATTATAAACAAACAAAAAGAAACTCAAATATCAGTAGTTGCAATTAGGAATAGTCTAATTACAAGTTTGTAGCATTGCAATTGTAGTTTTCTTAATATGTAATAACTGCAATTTTTATTTACCTCATTAGTATAATTGGGGTTTACAATGTTTGAATCAAAATTGTAGTAACTTTGAATATTGGCTTCTAAATCTCTTGCTAAAGCACTCTGCATATATTAAGATAAACTGATTAGTGAAAGCAATACTGCCAAAGCACTCTGCATATAATAAGATAAATCAATTTTTCAAACCTGTTCACAATGTATGTTAGCTGTTATCTCTGATAATTGTGTAAGTTCCAGTCCAGTGTCATGACATCCAATACCCATTTCCCTTAAGAAGTCTTCATCTCCTATTTGATGCAGTCCTTCGTTGTGAACCTGCATAAACATGCAACAAACTGTTATTTTTATGTGTAAGAAGATCTTTTGCATTGCAGTCAGTCAGTGGGCAGTGACATTTGTGGTGGTCATCTAAACTTACAACCAAAACAAATAAGCAAAAAAGAAGGGTGTCTGCCTCTGGCAATTCTGTCATGTGCAAGGAATTCCACAAGCTGATCAATTTGTGATCAAGTTGCCTCTGAGTTCTTTACAAGTTTCCCCAAAATCCTATACAAGTTACCTCTAAATCCTATACTAGTTGTCTCTTAATTCTACCACTTAAATGCAGTTTACATAACTCATGATGTACCATCCTACTCTTAAATGCAGGTGAATGTCTTACTAAATTTTTTGGCTCTGTGAAAATGTAAATGTGACTTTGACATACCACTCTGTTCCTCACTCCTTGATGGGCTTATAATACTAGTAATTAGTTTGTATATATACATGTATTTATATAAGTAACAATACGTTACAGTTGCACTTTACTTTGGATAACTATAGAGCTATAGCAACAGCAACAAAGAAGATAGAAGCAAGATGGTTACGGTCCAGGTGTTTCAGTGAACTGATGCAATGAGAAAAAGGAGATGAAGGCAAGAAATAGAATAATCTTGCTGGTTAGTACCTTTTTCCTAGGCAGATCATATCATTTGCCCTTGTTCATCTTCTTGTGTTTTACCTAATTTTCGCTCTTCTCTCCACTCTAATTCCCCTTCTAGATCCAGATTGATCAGGGGTTTCTTTCTTGCTGTAGGGTGTAGTGGCAGAGCTGTAATTTCTGTGTACTGTTTTATTGGGCCGAATAACTGCTTTGTGGGCCGAATGAGTAGTTATTTGATATAGCGGGTATCGGATCTTGCACCTATTAAGGTTTGGCGGGCCCGGTAGCTGCTTTGGTTGGGTTTGCGGGTTCATTTGCAGACCCGTTTTGTTGCCTGCTATAGAAAAACAACAGAGAACAGATCTGACCCTTGGATGTAGATCCAAGGGCCCTGGACGTCACCTGAGATGGTTGATATATTTCAGGCGACTGAAATATAGCAACTCCCTTATTTTTAATAGAAGCACTTAAAAGAGTACCTCATATAATTTTTTAAAACTATTTTCTTGAACTAAAGAGTACATCATATATGATATTTATTAAGAAAAACAGTAGCAAGTATAAAAGAATGATAGCATGACACAAAACAATATCTAATACTAAGAGTACATCAAAAACCAATGTCTGTCTTCTTCTTTCAATCGTTCGTTGCCCATCGGAGTTTGAAAATCACATAGAATAGGTAGCAAGAGAAATGGTCACATGCATGCAAACACTCGTCTTATAAGGTTTTGAGCATCCCCAAAGCCACTTGCCAACAAATTGAAAGAACGTCAGCTAGGGCACCCTAAGGAATACGTGCAGACTTACAATCCTTCACTAGTATAACAAAGTGTTGGAGAAACTACCAGACCTTGCCGCATTACATATCGAAATAAAGAGATTGAAATCAAACACCCCAAAAAAAAAAAAAATCAACTACTAAGATCCAAAGAGAATCACCACTTCAGACAGGACATACTATCACTAGCCTTTCGTCGGCGTCAGATCAGGCATCGTCGAGGTAGGGAGTCTGATCTAAATATACCTTATTACAATATTCTATCCTTGCCACCACCTCGTCATTGCTACTAGAAAAGCAAACCCTAGATAAAGTAAGAACCTTATATCAGCGAAGGAGTGGCCCCCACTCCTATGGCGAGACTGCTAGAGAGGAGAGGGATGAGGCGACAGGCACAACAATTAATTGGTGTGGGGAGAGCATGGCCTTATAGTTATTTCTACCTTCCTTTCAAATTATATGTCATTTTAATTTTTTGGTACATATACAGGTTTTATCATATATGTAGACATATCATATATCTAGTGTATAACAAAAGCTACTATGTATCAAAAATACCAAAATGGTCTATAATTTATGATGGAGGGAGTATAAATTGTACAACGTGAATTTCATACCGAAGGCAACAAAATATGGAGCCTGCTAAATACTGGGGCGATGCTTTGACATTTAAACCGGAACGGTTTGAGGCTGGTACAATTGATTTAGCCGTTTAGGATGTGGATGCATCAACCATTGACGGCGTCACATCGTCACACATAGATCAATAATTGCACCGGCGGACTGTAATGCACTCTGTGTTGCAGATATTTTGCAGTATCTCGTTGGAACTTTGTAGTGGCCTCGGTGGAAAGAACAAGACCACACGCATGGCGCCAAGCAAGCTACTTATTACGATGCAAATTTTCTTGCCATTTGCTAAACACCGAACAGCAAACCCCATGTTATAAGTGCCTCGCCCAAACTACAATTCACATATACCACTGCAAAGTTCAGAGATTGGTCTATTCAGTTCTCGGTCAGCCATTGCATCCTAGAGGCCACCATGGACTCGCTCACGTACTACCTGAGCCTCTTCTTGTTGGCTCTCCTCCCTCTAATCCTCCTCAAGCTCAAGAGGCGTGACAACAATGGCCTCAGGCTGCCGCCGGGCCCATGGTGGCTGCCGGTCATTGGCAGCCTCCACCACCTGCTCGGTAGCCCGCTCCCCCACCATGCCATGGCTGACATCGCGCGCCGGCTCAAGGCGCCCCTCATCTACCTCAAGCTCGGGGAGGTCCCCGTCGTCGTTGCGTCATCGCAGGACGCTGCTCGCGAAATCATGAAGACGCACGACGTCAACTTCGCCACGCGCCCGTGGAGCCCGACGACGAAGGTCTTTTTGGCGGATGGGGTAGGCCTGGTGTTCGCGCCCTACGGCGCCCTGTGGCGGCAGCTCCGCAAGATCAGCATCCTGGAGCTGCTCAGCGCCCGCCGCGTGCAGTCGTTCCGCGGCGTCCGGGAGGAGGAGCTCGGCCGCCTCGTGGCTGCCATCGCAGCGTCCCCGCCGGGCGAGGCCGTGAACCTCAGCCAGAGGATCGCCGAGCTCACGAATGACACGGCCGTGCGCTCCATGATCGGCGACCGGTTTGAGAGGCGGGAGGAGTTCCTGGAGAATATGGCGGAGGGAGTAAAGATCTCCACCGGGTTCAGCCTCGGCGATCTGTTCCCGTCGTCGAGGCTGGCGAGCCTAATCGGTGGCACGGCTCGCCGGGCGGCGGTAAACCACCGTAAGATGTTCGAGCTGATGGACTACGCCATCAAACAGCACGAGGAGAGGAGGGCAGCCATGGCCACATCTACAGAGGGAGAGGGCATCGTGAAGGAGGATCTGGTGGACGTGCTTCTGAGGATACGGAAGGAAGGTGGCCTGGAGGTGCCACTCACCATGGGAATGATCAAGGCCGTCATCCTGGTAAGTAGAGTACTACTGCTACTGCATGCATGTCTGTGGAAGGTTTTGGTTCACATCTATGTGATTCATGAGTTCATGGATGTTGCGTTCTCTTGTTGCTTGCTTGTATTTGTATGTAGGACCTTTTCGGAGCCGGGAGTGAGACCTCTGCAAGTACACTCCAATGGGCCATGTCAGAGCTTGTACGCAACCCAAAAGTGATGGAAAGGGCACAAGCCGAGGTACGCGAAAAGCTCCAGGGGAAGCCAACGGTGACTGAAGATGACTTGGTTGAGTTGAGGTACATAAAGCTCATCATCAAAGAGACCCTAAGGATGCATCCGGTGGTGCCATTGCTTCTCCCAAGGGAGTGTGGAGAGTCATGTAAGGTCATGGGGTATGATGTACCCAAGGGAACTACTGTGTTTGTGAATGTTTGGGCGATCAGTAGGGATCCCAAATACTGGGGCGGTGCTTTGACATTTAAACCGGAACGGTTTGAGGCTGGTACAATTGATTTTAAGGGCACAGACTTTGAATACACACCATTTGGGGCAGGCCGGAGGATGTGCCCCGGCTTGGCATTTGCGCAGGCAAGCATGGAGCTCGTGCTCGCAGCACTCCTGTACCATTTTGACTGGAAGCTGCCTGATGGGATGCTGCCAAGTGAATTGGACATGATGGAGGAGATGAGCATCACCGCCCGAAGGAAACACGATCTTTACCTGCAGCCAGTTGTCAGTGTGCCGCCACATGTATGATCTTAGCTATTTAATTTACTTGCTATTTTAACCTAGATATATGCTTTACACATCTAGTTGCATGTGTGCCGTTGTCTGAATTTACAAATAAGTACATGAAACACATTTTTTTCCTTTGGTGAAATGTTGAAGTTCTACTACAAGCAGTTCCCGCGCAGCGTCGCAGGGGCGATGCTCTTCCTGGAATTCGCCATCGCCAGCTACGCCAGCGAAATCATGGTCAGCGTTGTGTGAAATTTTTGCATTTTGGTCCCTTTTAAAAACATTTTTTTACAAAAAGACCTATGCCAAAACGTTTGCTGAAAATAGACCATTTTTAGGCGTCTTAGAACATGACGCCAAGGTATGAGGGTCGGCGTCGACTGACACGACGCCGAGGTCTTGCCACGTCACGGACGACCCCGGTCGACGGCGACACGGTGGCGCATGGGGTCCGACACGTCGGCGTTGTGTCAGCCAACACCACAGGCCCAACCTCGGCGCGGTGGGACTACACGCCGAGCTATTGGCACCATCCGGCGCGCGCCCAGGCGGCCCAACAACGCTTCGTGGCCCAATAGCTCGGCGCGGGGTCACTTAACGCCGAGCCACAAGACTCGGCGCGGCCCGACTCAACGCCGAGGTCTGGACCCTTGAAGCCGCGCCGTGGCCCCCTTCTTCTTCCTCCCTCCATTCTAAAAGCGCCGGCTCTCTGCGGCTGGCCTCCCTCCGCGCCCCCATGAAATCCTAACCCCCAAATGCGACCCTAGGTGCCCGGATCTCGTCTCCCGAAGCTTCCTCGAGGTAATGGTCCCTCCCCTCCTCCAATCTATCCGCGTAGATGTGCTTGTGTTGTCTCTAATCATGTGGAATCATGGGTGTATGTTGTTTTGGTATATGTGTATTTGTATTTGTAAAATGTATGGCTTAGGTTGATTGAGTGCATTGTTGTTTAACTGTTTTATGTGCTGAACATGTTAGGTTAGTTTGGTTTCTAGTTATTTTGGTCATTAGGGTTCTTTGTTTATTGTAGGTGTCATTAGGGTTAGTTATTTGTTGGTCATTAGGGTTAGTATGTATTTTAGTTATTTGTTGGTCATTAGATTTTAATTTTTTATGACTAGAAATGATTATGTTGTTGGGGTTGAAAAAGATGAAATGATATATTTTAGTTTCTACTTATTGGATTGAAACTCGCATGATATATTGATATGTGACACTACTTGTTGTGTGATGGCTGTAGATGGATAAATTAGTGAGGTTGCATCATGGAGGCCGTATTGTTAGGACAAGAGATGATAGTTTGGAATTTCTGGACATGTGTGAGGAGTTGTTGATTTTTTCTGAAACACCATCTTTGATCCAGTTAATGGAGCGAGTGAAGGTTAAGTTAGGCTGGAATGAAGAAGACGTGCATGTTTAGTTTGAAGGTGTCATAGATGTTGGGTCGTCGAAGGGTCCTCGGATCAAGCGGTTGCTCAAAATTACAAACGAGTCTGAATGGAATGATTACAAGGCAGTTGTATTGGCCTCAGAAGTGCGATCTTTGGATTTAGTAGTAAGTAAGGAGTCCGGCTTAGGAAATGATAACTTCAAAGAGGATGATGATGAAGTGTTTGGATCGCTCGAGCGTGATGGAGGTTGGTTTGAGGGCGATGGAGATGAGGAGGAGAATGCGGTTGCCGATGGTGAGGGCAATCATGATAGTGATGAAGAGGATGATGATTATGTAATTGGTGATGCAGAAGAAGGTTTGGACGACGCTAGCAGAGACTTTTCTATTGAGGATGAGCTTAGCGACGAAGATGATCTTAGTGGTGAAGAAGACTTTGGTGATGCTAGGGCTACGAACTGTTTTGACATAGAGATAGCTGGAGATGATGAATCCTTCGTAGAGGAGATAGCCGAAGACTCTGATGATGATCGCCCTGTTGGTCGTCTCAATTTTAGGGAAATAGAGATGGTAGCCAGGAATGGTAGCCAGGTATTTGGAAGGGCCTTTTGGGCGTTTGGGCAGAGCATCGAAGCATTCAAGCATTGCAGGCCCATCGTCTCAATTGACGGGACCTTTCTTACAGGGAAATTTGAAGGCACAATGCTTGTTTGTATTAGGACAGATGCAGAAGACCAGCTTGTGCCATTGGCCTTTGCGATTGTTTGGAAGGAGGACACGGATAGTTAGTGTTGGTTTCTCAGGCTAGTAAGACAAGTGGTAATTGGTCTGGGACGTGATGTTTGTGTGATATCCGATAGGCATGCTGGCATTCTGAATGTCGTAGAACAAGAGATTCCTGGTTACGGCCAAATACATCACCGGTGGTGCACCAGACACCTTGCTCAGAATCTTATAAGGCGTGATCACACAAAGGACAACTTCAAATTATTTGAGGAGGTTTGCAGGCAGCAAGAGGTTCAATTATTCAAAGACAAGCTAGATGCCCTGAAGTTAGCCACAAATGTTGATGGCAGGCAATTCTTGAGCGAGTTGATGGCGTCGAAGGATAAGTGGTCACTTGCATATGACACCAGAGGTTGGAGATGGGGCTTTATGACTAGTAACATGGCAGAGATGTTCAATAGCCTTCTAAGAGGTTGTCGTGGTCTGCCTGTGACTGCTATTGCCTCATTCACCTTCTACAAGTTGAATGCTTGGTTCGTTTCGAGGAAGAAGCATGCGAGGTCTCTATGGACAGCAGGCAAAGCTTGGCCACTTTTAGCATCTCAGGAACTAGCTTTCTCAAAGAAAAAGTCTAAACGACAGAAGGGTTCATGTTTCGATCCGATCAACCATGGATGTGAGATTCTAGAGGGTGGTGGAACTAACATTGGGGGTGAAGACCGGGGTGCTCAAAAACATAAAGTAGTGATCAATGAGAACAAGTATACGTGTGGAAAACCGACCATATACCATAGGCCTTGCTCCCACATGATTACAGCTTGTCGCCTTAGACATGTTGACGCTGAGGTCCCTCCCCGTATGGCCGCGGAGTTCTCTCTGAGGAACCTAATGAGCACCTGGAATCCTCAGTTCGAGCCATTTCTTGACGAGAGTCAATGGCCTACTTATGATGGCCCCAAGTATGTGGCTGATCTTGGTTTACTCTGGAAGAGTAGAGGACCTAGGCGGCGGAAGCGGTTCAGGATGGACATGGACCAAGCCACGAAAGGTAGATCAACCACGAGTAAGGTTGGGACACATTTTGTAGAGGACACCCAAAAGAGTCGTTGCTCTGGTTGCCATAAGACGGGCCACAATAAGAGAAAATGTCCTGAACTACTTAGACAACAGGTATCCACCAAGCTAGCTACTTGAATTGCTTTGTGTAATAGTGCATTGGTTTACTTTTGTTTTTTTATTGTTATGTTACTTCGTACCACATATACATGCTTTAACTTATACTAATGCTTTGGCATTCCTTATGTTGTAGGATGGATCGGTTCTCCCTTCTTGATCCAAGGTTCGATGAGCACCACCGGGCTCGGAGGATCGAGAACGGAGAGGTATATTCAATAATTCGTATGAAACAGTGCATTGTTTATCTTTTGCTCTATAGTCCATGCTCTTTATAAAGTGACATGAACTAATACCTTTTCATGCTTGTCTTTTTTTTGCAGGTTTTGAATGTGCTGAGGCCAATGACACATGAGGCCTCTACGACCATGGTCTACGACGAGAGGTACACACCCCTCCTGAAGCTGGCGAACCTTGCTATCGTTGCTCGTGTTTGTCGTCGAGGCACGCCACCTTTCAACCCAGCGGCGCTGACGGCATTGATAGATCGGTGGCGTTCAGAGACACACAGCTTTCACCTACCGTGCGGGGAGATGACGGTCACTCTCGAGGACGTTGCCATGATCCTTGGAGTCAAAATCTAAGGATTCCTAGTGACAGGAGACACGGAGTCCGAAGGATGGCAGCAGCGGGTTGAGCACTTCTTGGGATGTCCCCTAGCGGCAGTTGAGGCTGGCAAGAAACGGCGCAGCAGTGGGGTGTCCCTGAGGTGGCTTCGTCAGTAGTTTCGGGAGTGCCCACCCAACGTAGACACCCAGACCGTGACATACTACTGTCGGGCCTACGTCCTGCACATGTTTGGTATGGTTCTCTTCCTTGACGGCACTGGAGACACGGCGTCTTGAATGTACATCCCGTGCCTTTGGAACTGGGAGGATGCTAGCAATAGGAGTTGGGGCTCGGCTATACTTGCCTTCCTGTACCGTCAGCTTTGCGAGGCTTGCCGCCGTCCTGGAGACGCGCACGCTACAATGTCAGGGTTCATCACACTGTTGCAGGTAATAAAGTAAAGTTGTACAAGTTTCCACTACAATTCAATGTTTTTTCTTAACAAAAGTGATTAACATGCAAGTTTCCACTCTTTTTTGCAGATTTGGATGTGGGAGAGGCTTCCAGTTGGGAGATCACATCAGCTTGATCCCCCACAACCTTGGTTTCCTCAAGGAGACACAGTTGTCGCCCCTACCGTGGCACACCTCTATGAGCGAGCCCACGGAACTTACCATGTGTCATGCCACGCGTACATTAGCTTCACCAACGAGCTGGACACCCTTTTGCCACAGCATGTAAGTTTCCCACCCTTTTGGCCTAATCGAGGATATGTGCACAAATTGAGCGTCGACTAGTTGATGACGACGTTGTGTACAGGTTGAATGGCGCCCATATCGGCGGAGGCAAGTCACGGATCTCAACTTGAGCTCCTTGTGCACGGCAGACGAGGACGTCTGGACGATGAGGACCCCCTTATTTGTTTCTATGCAGTGGAGTACCATCTCCCTCACCGTGTAGCACGGCAGTTTGGTAGGCTGCAGCCTTCTCCGCCCGAGGATTTCTCCACCGGTTGGTAGCTCCACAAGTACATAACATGCAATATTTTGTTCGTTTCACATGAATGAATCATTGAGTAGGCCTTCATATTGCCGCTATGGTGTAAAATTTGCAGGTTCAGCAGACAAAAAAAGAAGAAGATCACCAACTGGCAGCTGGAGCACCAGCGCTACATTGATGAGTGGATGTTGATGGAGCAGAACAACATGGGCATCCACGCCGTCCATTGAGGCCTTGTTTGGCTTGGTCAACGAACAAGGCTTCAATTGAGGCCCACTTGGACGGAGCAAGACATTATTGACATTGCGAGCGAGGATGAGGGCAACAACCCATATGACCAAGCTACCCGAGAAGGCAGGCAAGTTGAGATCGCCCCTGCGTTAGCCAGAGCTATAAGTGATACAACTATTTCCATCTTTGAGGTCTTTACTGTGATGGAGACTTAAATTCTTGTTTTTGTTGCATAGAGCATGGAGATAATGAGGACAATGGTCGAGCAAGGAAGGGCATTGATGATTCCTGTGGGCGATCCTGATGAGGCCTCCATGTTACGACGACACATTCAGGTAGTCTCCTGTCATTCAGTTGATGTTACATCTTTATATAGTTTTGCGACCAACCCCACTTACTAATAGTGCTTTCAAAATGCAGCGTGCCATGCATCGCCTCCGAAAGGTAGCTGCACGCCTTGGATGTAGATGTGCCCCGGATGTGGCAGTCCCACAACAACTTAGTGCTGGACCTTCTACTGCACATGTTGGAGGGACTTCATTTTCACATGGTGCACATGTTGGCAGGACTTCTTCTTCACATGGTGCAGCAACTAGTGCAGAGGGTGGTCGAGGACATGGTCCTTATGATGATGAAGGAGAACACCAGGGAGAAGATGATGAAGGACAGGGAGAGTACTATGAGCATGAGTATGATGAGATTGGCATGTCCTAGCTTGAAGATGCACCCCAAGGAACTCAAGGCCTCTTCGGTTCTGGACGTCCACAGAGGACGCTCAGACCAGTGGACAGGTACACTCCAGGTACCTATCCGTTTGGGAGGGGAAAGCGTTACGCTCCCCATCCACGTTAAGGTACATCTTTTGATATGGTAATCATGATACTTGGCTCAGATTTTATCAAACACCAAATAGCTATGTGAAGGTAGTCTCATTAATGGTTTCTAACTTAGCTCAATATCCGCTAAAAGTTGTGAAAATGGACTACTGTAGGAAAAAAGAGAGACAAGGACAAAATGATGGAGCATTAGACAAGGAGCGAGCTAAAAGATCCAAAGACTTCATATGCTTCTTTTGTGCATGGACTATGTATGCATTGGACCTTATGTAATGCACTATGTATGGACCTTGTACTATGTTTGGACTATGTTGGTTGATTGATGAAGCATATGTATGGACTATGTATGGATGTTGAATGTGTTGGACTATGTTGGATGTTAAATGTGTTGGACCTTATGTATGTATGGATGTTGAATGAATGTGTATGTCGGTGTGGTCATTTGTTATGTGAAATTATGTATGCTCAGTTCATTGTTTTTTTGGTGAACCCAGGAGCTCGGCGTCAATTGAACACACGCCGAGGGTGGGCACCTTGGCGTTTAGTCAATTGACGCCGACCCCTGGTGCATACTGGAATCCTTTGCCTCGAAGCGACGAGGTGCCCAAGCTCGGCGTTCCATAAATTGACGTCGAGCCGTTAATCTCGACGTGAAAATATTAAACGCCGAGGTAGGCGTGTGGGCTGACCTGACGACGCCCGTGACCCAAACGTCAGCGTGGCTCGACTCGGCGCCTAGCTATCCGATCTTAGCGTGGGCCGACTCAGCGCCGAGGTTCGGCCCAAACCTGGCGTGGGCCGTGGTGATCCAAACCCTAGGGTTGGCGTGGGCCGACTCGACGTCGAGCCTCAGCCCAACACTTCACGTAAACGGCCGAGCCAAACCCTAGGGTTGGCGTGGGCCGAATCAACGCCATGGTCATCTACCTCGGCGTCGTTCGACTTGACGCCGAGCCTATAAATCATAGAAAAGAAAGAATAAAGTATTAAAGACAGAGGTCTTCTAAACCTGGTATAGGTTGAAATCCTATTTGCATGATTCAAATGAAAAATCTTTCTCAACGATTCCTCTTCTACTAACACGAGTTATACTAATAACAGTAGACATGCTATATTTATGTTTGTTCCTGCAGGAAAAACCGAAGGTTGGTTCGATTTCAATCCCGTATTTTTAGAGAGAGTCAAATCTTTTTTTCAGTTTGGGAATCAACCATAGTACATGGTAAACTGCAATTTATGAAATAGCGAATGCACAACGATTACACTCACATCAAAACTAACAATGGCATGTCGCAAACTAAACCTAGCACGCCTTAGGGGATTGAAAGAAACAAGTGATACAGACGTTGCAAAGGTACTACGATTACACACTCACATAAAAACTAACAATGACATGTTGCAAACTAAACCTAGCATGCCTTAGGAGATTGAAAAGAACAACTCATACAAGCATTCCACATTCGGATTGACTAACAAAGGTTGGTCCTAATAATGCTCCCACATATTGAACTGAGTTGCGCCTTCCCCATAGTATCCTCCAGTTGACGGCGGCGGCGGCGGTGGCAGTGGCGGTGGAGAAGGAGGCTCGTGCTTCTTATGGTACGGGCACTGGCAGTACGGATTATTGCATACTGCCTCCTCTGTATCATTGCTGTTGTCGTCGTCCGACTTGTCCCTGTTATCACTTCCAGGGCCATACTCTAGGTCAAAGATGCGTCCCTGTAGATATGTGATGTACTGTTGATGGGGATAGATAGGAGGAGGGTCGACCCATCTAGTGAAGCCACAGTTATCTGGACAGCTTGAATCCTGAAAACCCATCTACCAATAAGTACTACTACAAACCAAATGCAAATCTAAAAAAGGAGAGAGTTCAAAGGAAATATAAATCCTCGCGGGCATCTGAAGAAACGACGGCCTCCACCGTCACAGTCGTTATACATCTGCACAACGCAATCCAAACCGTGGCGTCATTTTGGCCAATCTTCAATGCGCTTGTCCTATGAACTAAGAGGTCTCTTACGGGTGAAGTCACTCTTCCTCTCCAAAGGAAATTCCTCTATTGGTTCTTCAAAAGAATCAGGACCCAGAGAACCCTCCCACACAATCGGAGGTCCCTTCCTCACCCTCTTTCCTCTCCCTCCGCCGAAACCCTTTCCACTCGAGGAACCTCCGCTCAACATTTGCTAAAACTAAACCAGAAAACAAGTTGTGTGGATGTGGAGCAAGACATGGAGCACTATATATAGAGATGAAGGCAGGTTCACCATGAATGTTACTTGACAAAAAAACTTATGTGCGTACTCATTTATTGAATCTGCAAAGGCTAGATGCTTCATCTAAAAAGCCTAAAACCATGACTGGTCATTTCATCTGAAAAGGCTACACCTGTGTTTTGTCACTTCATCTAAATGCAGTACATCACTCTGATATTAATTTATTGCGTATACGGATACAACAGTAAACGAATCTAGGCTTGTCAGTGAGTTTTCAAATAGACTTTTCATTGACTGCAACAGTACTTGTAGCCCTTTCAGTGACTGCAACGGCACAAGTAGCCTTTTCAGTGATACAAACAGTAGCACTATAGTCTAGGATAGTTAACGAAGTACAGGGCAAAAGATCCCGCGGCTTCAAGGGTCCAGACCTTGGCGTTGAGTCGGGCCGCGCCGAGTCTTGTGGCTCGGCGTTAAGTGACCCCGCGCTGAGCTATTGGGCCACGAAGCGTTGTTGGGCCGCCTGGGCCGCGCGCCAGATGGTGCCAATAGCTCGGCGTGTAGTCCCACCGCGTCGAGGTTGGGCCTGTGGCGTTGGCTGACACAACGCCGACGTGTCGGACCCCATGCGTCACCGTGTCGCCGTCGACCGGGGTCGTCCGTGACATGGCAAGACCTCGGCGTCGTGTCAGTCGACGCCGACCCTCATATCTTGGCGTCATGTTCTAAGACGTCTAAAAATGATCTATTTTCAGCAAATGTTTTAGCATAGGTCTTTTTATAAAAAATATTTTTAAAAGGGACCGAGATGTAAAAATTTCACTCGTTCGCATCGCACTCGACTCACACGCAAGCCGTAGGTGGCTTGCCCTGCTCGTTGCCTCCCTGTACTGTGTAACCTTTGAGAGCTCCTGCGCTGGGTGGAGCAGTCCAGATATTTTGAGGACGAAAGTAGCCAAGTAGGACGAAGCAGTGCCTAGGGATAAGCTCGCCAAAGCGTGGATAACGACGTGAGGTGGGATGTACCTACGTTTATGTTTTTATTATTAGCAGCGGGACCCACTCAAACAAGAAGGGAGCATTTGCAAATCTATAAACTCTATAAATTAAAACTCACCGGCTATTTCTCTAAAGATGCAAGTTGTCCACCTAATCAGTTCACTATCAGATGTATTTATGATCAACTAGCATTTGCAATTATAATCTACATGTCAGCAAGATACATCATCCACTAACATACATTTAGTTGTCCACAGCAGCGTGCCACATCATCCACTAATATTAACTTATAATTATTGATCCCTTTGTATAAGTAATTTTACTCCAAATCATCAGCAATTTCCACGACAACGCACGGGGTATTCACCTAGTGTTTCTGTAAGCGCAAATAAAGTAATAACTGATTACCACATTTCCGTATGTACTGCAGGAGTAAACTGTAAGAAAAAATATTATAGGTCTTTCTTAGGTTTCTAGACAAGTTAATGCTTGGATTTTTAGAGCACATGATGCAATGACAAATGATGTTCTGTTGATTTATTTCTGTTTTTTAAGAAAAATAATAAAGTCCATGACAAAAGGATGATCATGAAACATACTTTGTATTTTCTATGCAATTAAATTTGTAGAGTTCTAAAATTTTAAACTATGTCATAAGCCACGTGCCCACGTGTGTCGCATCGCAGTTGGTGTGGATAAAACTTTGTGACCTCGTGTCACGCACGGGCATATATGCAGTAATATACTGATATTAGGTTTGGATCCAGCAGTTATCTACGGGCCTGAAGTAGTTTGTGTTGCAGAAATGTTGCAGTATCTTTCTGAGCGTAGAAATGTTGCAGTATCTGTTGGGGCTTTGTCGTGATGGCTGTAGAAAGTACGAGACGACCACACACTTGGCGACAACGAGCTGCTTACGTTGGAAATCATATTGCCATTTGTTGAGTTTTTGGTGACCGAAGCAAACCCCGTTGTTATATTACATAAACATATATGCCTCGTCCAAACTAATTCACATACCACTCCAAACTTCGAAAGACAGAGGTTAGTCTACTCAATTCTTGGTTAGCCATTGCTTCCTAGACGCCACCATGGAGCCGCTCACACACTACTTGTGCATCTTCTTGGCTCTCCTCCTCCCTGCCCTGCTCCTCAAGCTCAAGAGGCGTGACAACAATGGCCTACGGGCTACGGCTACCGCCAGGCCCATGGCGGCTGCCGCTCATCGGCAGCCTCCACCACCTGGTCGCAGCTCGCTCCCCCACAGTGCTTAAGGCGCCCCTCATCTACCTCAAGCTCGGGGAGGTTCCCGTCGTCGTCGCGTCGTCCCCGGACGCCGCACGCGAGATCATGAAGACACACGACGTCAACTTCGCCACGCGCCCGTGGAGCCCGACGGTGAAGGTCCTGATGGCCGACGGGGAGGGCTTGGTGTTCGCACGCTACGGTCCCGAGTGGCGGCAGCTCCGCAAGATCAGCATCCTGGAGCTGCTCAGCGCGCGCCGCGTGCAGTCGTTCCGCGGCGTCCAGGAGGAGGAGGTCGGCCGCCATCGCGGGGTCTCCGCCGGGCGAGGCCGTGAACCTCAGCCAGAGGATCGCCGTGCCCATAAACGACATGGCCGTGCGCTCCATGGTCGGCGACCGCTTCGAGAGGCAGGAAGAATTTTTGGAGCTTGTTGTGGAGGGAAATAGAGATCACCGCCGGGTTCAGCCTCGGTGACTTGTTCACGTCGTCGAGGCTGGCAAGCCTCATCGGTGGCACAGCTCGTCGGGCGGCGGTTAACCGTCGAAAGATGTTCGAGCTGATGGACTACGTCATCAAACAACACGAGGAGCTAGCAGAGGGCAGCCATGGCCACAGCTACAGAGGGCATTGTGAAGGAGGATCTAGTGGACGCGCTTCTGAGGATATACAGAAGGAAGGTGGCCTGGAGGTGCCACTCACCATGGGAATGATCAAGACCGTCATCCTTGTAAGTACTAATGCTACTATTTCTGAGGATTTGTGCAAGGTTTTGGTTCACATATATGAGTTCATCGATGTCGTGTTCTCTTGTTGCTTGTGTTTTTATATATAGGACCTTTTTGTAGCCGGGAGTGAGACGTCAGCCAGTACACTCCAATGGGCCATGTCAGAGCTGGTAAGCAACCCAGAAGTGATGCAAAGGGCACAAGCCAAGGTACGCGAGAAGCTCCAGGGGAAGACAACGGTGACCGAAGACGACTTGATCCACTTGAAGTACATCAAGCTCGTCATCAAAGAGACCCTACGGATGCATCCGGTGGTGCCGTACGTTGCTTCTGCCAAGGGAGTGTCGAGAGTCATGCAAGGTCATGGGGTATGACATACCTAAAGGAACTATGGTTTTTGTGAATGTTTGGGCGATCGGTAGGGATCCCAAGTACTGGGATGACGCCGCGACGTTCAAACCGGAGTGGTTTGAGGCCGGCACAGTTGATTCCAAGGGTACCGACTTTGAATACACGCCGTTCGGGGCAGGCCGGAGGATTTGCCCGGGCATGGCGTTTGCCCAGGCAAGCATGGAGCTCGTGCTCGCAGCACTCTTGTACCATTTTGACTGGAAGCTGCCTGGTGGGATGCTGCCGAGCGAAGTGGACATGACGGAGGAGATGGGCATCAACGTGCGAAGGAAGCACGACCTTTACCTGCATCCAATTGTCAGTGTGCCCACCACATGCATGATAGAGTCATACACTACTGTACCATAGCTGCTGCTTCCCTTTTACACGCCTGTTTTCACCCTATGTGCTTTACACATAACACACCTAGCTGCATGCGTGCGTGCTGAGTCTGAATTTTACCATAAGTACATGCAACACATTATTATCTGCTTTGCTCAAACGTTGTTCTTTGTGTACGAGAAACATGAATGGTTTAGAATCTCATAGTACAATGAGATGTTGAAACGTTAACCCCTATGTTTAAGCAGGTCACAGCAAAAGCTCTTGACTTTGCTTAGGCATTGAACTGCTTACTGCTTGGTTTGTCTAGGTGTGGAGACACCTCATTGACGGGCCCTTTGAGGCAGAGGGAGTACCATATATTATAGAATCCCGGCTGCAGGGGTTGATAGGTACTCCGTCCCTAAAAAAAGAGTCGCTATGGGAATTGTGCTGGTCAAACTTTCTCAACTTTGAATGCTTGTAGAAAATACGTGCAACATTTATATCTCCAAATAAAAAAAAACTCGGCCTACGGTGGGCAGACAACCCCCACAACTTTGTGCTTAAGGTAGAAGATCTCTCACGCAGAACGAGAAGATCTCTCACGCAGAATGAGAAAACCTCCGAACCCATGCCCCGCCCTCACACAGGGGCCCATTGCCCTGTGAGTGGATCGGTCCATTTACTTGTGCTTTGGGAAACGTGGGACAGGCGAGGGAATTTTTTTACCTCTGGCAGGCGAACGAGCGCACCCACGGGACTCAAACCCTGCACGCAAGGGTGCCGACCGGACCTCTGACCATGTGGTCTATGGAGAGTTTATTATAAAAGTATATTCGACGATTTCTCTAATAATACTAATTATGTACCATAAATATTAATATTTTGTTAAATATATTTGGTTAAAATTTTAAATTGTTGACTTTTTTAAGAAACTAGAATAACTCTTTTTTAGACATGAGTCCATGCGACGAAGCAGTCAATGCCGTTGCTTTCCCAGGGCGGCAGCATCCTCCGCGGCCGGCCGGTCATGGACACCACATGGACAAACAAGTGCAATTTTATTGCTGAGAGCATTTCGTGCATGTAACTGTAGAATTCAGACTGGTTGTTGCACCGCATCTGTTATTGCCCTGTCAGGCTGTCACTGTAGACAATTTTTTTTTGGCGCCCATGATATATGCTGGCTGCGTCGGGAATCAGGACTGTATCTTCGACATACTACCTACGTACCTAAAAAGTTGCAATTTCCAGATACATTCTCGATTAAATTATCTAAAGTTTGATCAAATATACAGATAAAAGTATTAATAATCATTATGTCAAATAAGTATATTGTAAAAATAATGTTTCATAACGGTATCTATTTAGTACAATAAATATTAACTACTTTTTATATAGAATTTTTTGAGGAATACTTTTTATATAGATTTGATCACACTTTGATATACTTCAACGTAGTACTGTTCTAGAATTTACATTCTTTTTGGGACAGAAGGAGTACACGGTAATTGCACAGCATTATTGAGATGGCAGCAAAGTGAGGAATCCTAGCCGTTCTCTTGCCGAGAGCCGCCGGGCTTAGATGTTCCCTATCTATAGATAATGCTGGAGTCTTGTCAACACTTCCGCACCTAAGCTGTAGGTTGCGGCACGAATTCTTGGTACATTTGGGAGATTGCTATGGCTTGGAAATCAATTTATCCAGGACCGAGATTTACCCAGGGTGTGTGTGTGTGTGTGGGGGGGGGGGGGGTTGTTGTTCAAATAGAGAATAACATCGATGTAATTATTACTTTAATAAATGAGCTTTAAGTCAATTTAGACATCCTCTTATGTATGCATGCATTAAATAATCCTATTATTACTCTAATATTCTTATTGTAATAGAGTTCATACCTTCTTGGTTGAGATCTTTACTGTTCACATTTACATTACGTTTACCCCCAAAAGGTGCAAACTCTAGTAATATTAAGTCCAGAGAGGAAGCCGCACAGGAGGAGCCACCTAGGTGGGCACACAGGAGTGGGACCACCGGAGAGGATGGAGATAGCGGTGGCAGCGGAGCATGCACATCGCTCGGGTGTGGGCAGTATAGACGGGCATGGGGAGAGCAACCGACAAAACTTAATAAAGGTTTGAGGGGGAATTTGATGGCCTGAGTATGGATCGTGCTCATGCATGTTGGAGTATGTTTTTACCCACTAGCCTTAAAAGTACGATAGAGACCTAAATAGGAGTCATGCTAAAGGTGGTGTCGAATTTTTTATTTTTCAGGCTTTTTTTGAAAATTATTCATAAATAGACTCTTGGTGGTTTGATTTTCGTTTATGGACCCTGACCTCGGCGCCATGGCTTTTGACGCCGAGGAAACATGTCTCGGCGCCATGGCCAATGGCGTCGAGGTCTTGGCGAGGCTCGGCGCCAAGATCTAGGCGCCGAGCTCGGCGCCTAGATCTTGGCGCCGAGCTGTTACCCTATAGATCTTGGCGTTTGAAATAAAACAAGTATAATTGTTCCGAGAAACATGCAATAATGTCATAGCAATCTCCCCATGCCCGTCTACGTCGGCCAATGGTGCCGAGGCCTTGTCCACGTCGGCGCCAGGTCACCGCCACGTCCGACGCCTCGCCAAGACCTCGGCACCATTGGCCATGGTGACGAGATATGTTTCCTCGGCGCCAAAAGCCATAGCGCCGAGGTCAGGGTCCATAAACAAAAATCAAACCACCAGGGGTCTATTTATAAATATTTTTCAATAAAGGGTTGAAAAATAAAAAAATCGGAAAAGGTGGTGCTAAACCATTGATTCCTGAACTAGCTTGATAGCACCCCGTAGAGTATCTTCCAAACCTCCCTAAAATTACTTAGTAAATTAATAATTATGCCAAGTGAACCAGGATAAATTGAGAGCATTATTTTTGTCTTCTTTCAATAGTTAGCTTCCTAAAACTCAAAAACCATGCGAAGGGGGCAAACCAGCCTGGAGGAAAAAAAAACCGTGTGAAAACTGCGTGGGGGCGACTGATCAAATGGATAGCAAGCTCGGAATGTCCCGCTCATATTTGTAGGTTATGGGGAAGATTTACCATGTGCTTATTTTTAAGGAGTTAAGATATAAAATTATTGAAGGACTGCGTGGGGGCTTATTTTTTCGAGTATTACACTACTCAATAAAGTTCTATCTCCCACCACCCCCCAAAAAAAGAAAAAAAAAGGAAAAAGATGGTAGAACTCTTTTCTCACGGATGCGTCATGCTCATGCATGGACAACGTACATGACATCATCACACAGACCGTGTGAAAACTGCGTGGGGGCGACTGATCAAATGGATAGCAAGCTCGGAATGTCCCGCTCATATTTGTAGGTTATGGGGAAGATTTACCATGTGCTTATTTTTAAGGAGTTAAGATATAAAATTATTGAAGGACTGCGTGGGGGCTTATTTTTTCGAGTATTACACTACTCAATAAAGTTCTATCTCCCACCACCCCCCAAAAAAAAAGAAAAAAAAAGGAAAAAGATGGTAGAACTCTTTTCTCACGGATGCGTCATGCTCATGCATGGACAACGTACATGACATCATCACACAGACCAATGCGTTCGCGGATTGGCCGTGTACTCTTGTTGCTTCGTATTAATCGCTAAGGTACCTTGTCGTGTCCCCGTGCGTGTAGCTATATACATATGTTTATATCACGATGATAGCATCCACGGATGACGGATGAGCTAGCTGTCCGTTGAGTTCTCTGCTGGCCACTGAATTCATGGAGCAGCAGCTCGGGTACTCCATCTCCATGTGGTTCTTCTTGGCGGCTCTCCTGTTCCCCCTCGTACTCTTGAAGCTCAAGAAGCGTGACAACAATGGCTTGAGATTGCCGCCAGGTCCGTGGCAGCTGCCGGTCATCGGCAGCCTCCACCACCTCCTCCTCCGCAGCCCGCTCGCCCACCGCGCCATGGCCGACATCGCGCGCCAGCTCAACAACGCGCCCCTCATCTACCTAAGGCTCGGTGAGGTCCCCGTGGTGGTGGCGTCGTCCCCGGACGCCGCTCGGGAGCTCATGAAGACGCAGGACGTCAACTTCGCCACGCGGCCATGGAGCCCCACCATCAAAGCCATGAAGGCCGACGGGGAAGGACTGGTGTTCGCGCGCTACGGCGCCCTGTGGCGGCAGCTCCGCAGGATCAGCGTCCTGGAGCTGCTCAGCGCCCGCCGCGTCCAGTCGTTCCGGCGCGTCCGGGAGGAGGAGGTCGCCCGCCTCGTGGCCGCCGTGGCGGCGTCGGCGGCTCCGCCCGGCGAGGCTGTCGTCAACGTCAGCGAGCGGATCGCCGTGCTCGTCACGGACTCGGCGGTCCGCGCCATGCTCGGCGGCCGGTTCGACAGGCGGGAGGAGTTCCTGGAGAACCTCGCGGAGGCGCTGAAGATCGCGGCGGGCTTCGGCCTCGGTGACCTGTTCCCGTCGTCGAGGCTCGCGCGCTTGGTTGATGGCGCCACGCGGCGCCGGGCGGTGGCGAACCACCGTAAGCAGTTCGAGCTGATGGACCGTGCCATCAGACAGCACGAGGAGCGGAGGGCAGCCATGGCCGCCGTGGCTGCAGACGGCGCCGGCGCGCCGGCGCCGTGCATGAGGAGGATCTAGTGGACGTGCTCCTGAGGATTCAGAGAGAAGGTGGCCTCGACGTGCCTCTCACCATGGGGCTCATCAAGGCTGTCATCCTCGTAAGTAACTACTAGTGTAAATTATATGTCATTAATTAGTTCATACTACATATTGTACGTGTGCATGACGTACCTAGGACCTTTTCGGTGCCGGGAGCGAGACATCCGCGAACACACTGCAATGGGCCATGTCAGAGCTCGTCAGGAACCCTAGAGTGATGCAGAAGGCACAAGCCGAGGTGCGTGACCACCTGCAAGGAAAGCCAACTGTGACCGAAGACGACCTAGCCGACCTCAAGTACACGAAACTCGTCATCAAAGAGACCCTAAGGATGCATCCAGTGGTGCCATTGCTTCTGCCAAGAGAGTGCCGAGAGTCATGCA